ATTTTTAAACAAAACTTACGTGTAGAACTCGTTTCAAGCTCTTCTTCATTCCTGCGTTTTCGTGTCTGAGTGCGAGTCTCTTGTACGCTATTCGCCGGGGTGGCCCGATCTACAGATTATGATAAATTTGTAAATTTAAATTAAATTAATAAAAGTCTCTCGTATTCGATTACATTACACTCTCCCTAATATAAATAAAACATTTTGCTTACCATTTAAGAGGTTTTCTCGATGTTTAGATAACAGGAATTTTATAAGATCTCCTGCATCCTCCTCTTCATGTTCGAATGTCTCCCGTATTTCTATTATTTCACCCGCGATATGCAACAATTCAGCATAATCGGCGAAATAACCCAGTCTGTATAACACTGCTAGTACAGTGTTCGAGCAGGCCCACGCAAAAGACCGAAAAACAGCGTAATTGATTTCCGACGACTCATCCCATAACGCGGATAAATATCGTTCCCTGTTTAACGTAGGCGCCAAATTTGAGCCTATAATTATGCATTTGCATAATACTTCTTTGAGTCCAGGCATTTTTATCAACGCTCACTCACGATATCACTTTTCACGATAAATATAACACTTTTCGCGGAAAGACACGCGTTGCTTCGATCGATGGCGAATTCGGAAATAATTTTTCTACTACACCACGATGCATTTATTTACTCGTATCCCCTCTTTTTTTCCAAGAAGGTATACCCCCGAAAGAGTTAAAATTTCTCCTTTCTTCCGAGAAAAAACGGACAAAAAGAAAAATAGTTTCTTATTTTTATTACGATATGCAGGCATTGCATGCAATAGTTTTATTGCTTAGGTGTTTTTATTATAGAGGTGTCAAAGTAAAGACTTTGTTGTGAAAATCTTTTAAAATTTTCGTAGAAGGGCTAGGATTATGTCGATTAGAAATTCGTCCTTTATAACATTTTTCTCTTAACAATATAAGCTATAAAAATTTATTATTCGGCTGCTAAGCTTTTATCTACGTTTTGTAACATATTGTAATTGTATTTAGAGAAAAATTTTAGAGAAAAATTTTTCCTTGTAACGAATCTAATTTCTAGATGTTTCTAGATGTTTTCACGTAATTTTTAGCGTGATGAACAAGTTTGAACGTGAAAAATCATGATTTTTCCTGTTATTTGACTGTCTGCGCAAACTTTTCCCCCACTTTTCTTTATATTTCGATATATAAGCAGCACGAGAAGATGCGAATTCTTATTCATTTGAGTTTGCTCGTACGAAAATCTTCCTTTCGGCTTCGATACAAGAATTTGTCGTTGTTGTGACTAGTATTCAACTCGGTTTTATTCGAAAGTGATAACAATGGCTGCCACGAAAGAAGTTTCCAGTGATCAGAAGAATCTAGTCGATTTTGTTAAATCTACACACGTTTGCGATATTAGCAAATCGGACAACAAGATCGACATCGATAGAAGAAACGAACAGCGTTATTTATTACTATCGACAACGTATGGTCTTAATTCATCCTGCACTAAGAAGTTACATGTGGGGTTGCAAGCGACAAACGACGATTGCTTCGTGCCGATTGTTAAATTAACTGGCAATTATATCGATGGAATTTGCTTCGATATTGACAGCTGGCAGCAGTTTCAAATCAGCATGGAACAGATGAGACTGTACTTGAGCGAAAATCAAAAAACTAGGCCGAGTCCGATTATCATCAACAATATTTCCATCGGATTCACCACCGCTTACGGGTCGAGGGCTGTGATAGTGACTTACAAGGAAAATGCAGAACAATCTGCGAGTAATGGTGAAGCGGAGGAGCAAGCGCAGCCGCCTTTGAAGAAGCGAAAAACGCAGAACATCGCTATCGTGATGCAGAAAGCTACTTTCCTAGGCCTGGAAAATATTGCGAGATGTGTGGATGCACATTTGTCTCAGCTAGTTTGCATCGCCGACACCGTCAACACCTGCGCCAATTACTTAATAAACGAGATAGAATTAAAACTCCCATCAGCTTACATAGATCGTGAAATTATAAAGCTCATAGTTATCGGTAATTTTCAAGAAATTGAACGCAATGTACAAACGCAAATAAAGGATTTAACATTTTTAGATGTATATTTCAATATTGTATTCGAAGAATTACTTTTTCACTAGGATTTAATGAAATTGCGCGTATAATTTTAAAACGCAATTGTTAATTTTATAAAAATAAAAAAATAAAAAATTATTTCAATAAATATGAAGTTTTTCCACCTTAAAAATCACAGCGTATTTTTTTCCTTTATCCCTCTCTAATATTTCCTTTACTTCTTTATTACACGCATAGATCATTCCGTCAAAATAATATCAAATGTTAGTTGAACGCTAAACGAGCATCTTATTTCTAACATAAGCGCACACAGAGCACCGCTTATAAGCTCGTAAGCAGCGGTGCTCGAAAAACACCGGTACGAGCACATCCCCGCGAATACGCTTACTCGCGGCGTTCCCGCGGCTGCTTAGCAGCTAATCGGCCGCGGTGCTTTCCGCTCGTTCACGTACCGGGAAACGCTAACGCGAGCATGCGGCCGCCGCGGTGGGGCCCCCGGAGCGCAGATAAGCTTATTACTCAACGCATACCTACGATAAATATTAAAAATATTCGATGATCTTTTATTTATGAGAGCGAACGTAATCGGCAAAGCGTTCATTTCGCAAAATGGATGTACGGTGGAAACATCCTTGGACGTCGATCGTCTGTGGACCTACGGGATGTGGAAAAACAATTTTCGTGAAAACGTTTCTTCGTCATTTATCCGGCATGTCAGATGTTCGATTCGAGAGAATTTTATTTTATTACGCAGAGTGGCAAGATGCGTATCAGCGTTTACAATGCGCCGCGAGTGAGAAAGAAGAAGAAGAGAAAAAAGCACAAAAGACCGGTTACGTTAATAATGCATTGATAAAATCGAAGAAAAATATAATCGAATTTCGCGAGGGATTACCGCGCTCGAAAGATTATTCCAACGATCCACTCTCGCCAAAATTAATAATAATTGACGATCTTATGAGGGAATCATGCATTTTCAATACGCTCAAGGGTGACGTACCGCTTCGCTGTAACGATAAAAAGCGATTAGCCGAACATAAAACGATCCTACGTCGTGTCGCGGCGAAACAAGGTAATTGGAAGGCAAGGACTCGTAACTATAAACGGCGCTGCCATAACGGGTTCGAATATTGCGGAACTTATAAACGACGCGATACGCGAGAGCAAAACATTTAAAGCAACCGGAAGAATTCAGTTTGCTCGATTACTGCACGACATAGGCACTTCTTTCAATCTCATAGGAAATCATGATTTATTACATACGTTCGCCCGATCTCATCGTATTAAAATCGTGGTTCCGCGCGGAAGTTCCACTCCGAAAACTTCGACCGAGCGTTCAAAGTCGTACAGACGTAAGGTAGACGAAACGAGTGAAACCGAAGGAGATACGCTATTTGTATCCGCCGACAAGGACGAAGGCGGGCGAAGTTATAGACGGGATTTTTTATGAACAAGAATTAGCATCTGTTATTAAAGACTTGCAAGGGTAAGAATTTATCATCGATCGTGTGATAAAAAGTAGGGGACGTGGTAACAATAAACAATTATTAGTTAGTTGGCAAGGATATCCTTCAAAATTCAATTCTTGGATACCCTTCGAGTTTAAAATCTTTGAATCAAAAATGAGGGAGGAAGGATTTTATATGATTTTCCCGAGTAATAGCAGCATGCGTTTTTTCCGGAGAATAAAACCATGTGTTTCACCACTGAATTACCTCAATGTATAAACTTGCAGGGACGTTGGGATGTAGCGCTAACGGAGATTCAATTTCCGACTAGCTTTCTTCATATACGTCCTGGAGATGTAAATTTTTCCGAGAAACTTTGCCGAATACTCAGCTTTGATACACACAATAAGCTCAATGCTAGTGTTGTGGAACGTTCACCGTTATGGCTCTTTAGCGAAACAGACTTCAATATACAAAATACCGATGAGAAGCATGGTAAAATTGAAAATAATACCGGTACACCAGGCGTTTTACCTTCCTGGATTTATGATGATAAAATTTATACATCACCATTTTACGTATTTCCACGCGAACGCGTAATAATAGCCGCCGAACCAGCTAGTTTGTTGCGCAGTATCCCCGACAAGCTCTTTGTCTATTGCGATATTTGCGAACCCTATATTACTAGCGATGTACAATCTCCTCTATTGCGAATCTCCTCTTTTTCGCACTCGATGCTGCTTTTCGCACAATCGAGATAGATATAAGAGATCAACTAGGACAGAGTATACCATTCGAATTTGGAACGCTGACAGTGACATTACACTTTAGGCGTATCGAGTAGATAACACAACGGTGAAGCTAATCCGAAATATTTTACATCGCAACTACGTGAAATAACAAGACAGGCACGTCACATTTACGTCAGAGGTACCGAAAAAGAAACCTACTTGCGGAATTTACTCTCCAGAAATATATATAATTTGGAAGATATTTCCCCCGCATTCAAAAATCTGTCAGAGGGAGAAGTGCACGGACGATATTGTGGTTACCACGGATTTCGAAAATTCGGAATCTTTCATTGCGCATTACGCAACGTATATAAATTAAAATATTGGTTAATCGAGCGAAATAATATCGCCTACGGCAATACGAACGATAGTACTCAAGCTACTTATGGTTCTCCGGATAATTGGAGTTTAAACGCCTGTGACGACGACGACGACGACGACGAGGATGACGAAAACGAAGACGACGGAAATGAGGAAATCAGTAGCGCGTATGAGATTTCGCGCGATAGAATTGAAATAGAGAAAAAAAAAATCTGCAAGAATCCGAGCGATCAATAGAAAAAGAAGAAGAGAAATTTGAAAAATCTGAATTATCGTCGTTGATGGATAGAGACAAGCTCGAAGCAAAACAATCGCTTAATCGTACACTTATTTCGTAAAATTTTTCTTCGTGAAAAAAGAAACAAGTGAAACATTTTATGCTATGCATTGCAGTGTTTAATCATGTAATTCGAATTGTAATACGGTATAGACGATATAGTCCTATGCAATATTTTAATTATATGTAATAAGAATATTGATTTATATAAAATTAATATCAATAAATGTAGGATTTTTTTTTTACTTAAATTGTTAAATTTTTTTCATCTCTCCTCTTTCCTTTTACAGTATAATGTTCCAAACGTTTGAACTTGTTAACGCCTGTTTTTTATTATCCTTTCATTGGTTGAGGTAACGTAATTTCTTTCGGCGCAACAAATGCGAAACCCTATAGAAACTAAGGAAATTAGTCAGCCATAAAATGAAAATAACTAAAAATAGGCAGTGATAGAATAAGGAAACTTTTTTTCCCCACTTTATTGTCCTTTTGGAAAACAGTGGGGGGATTATGTATAAATTCTGATTTCCCATGAAAAATCCAACATTAGTTTTCCACCTCTTGAAATTTTTTGTGTACTAAGTTAAGTGAAGTCCGAGTGTGCGAAAATGTGCGTCGCTGATATTCTAAAAAAAATTACAATATTGTGTAGTGTCGCAATACCTCAATTTGAGGCTAAAAAATATCTCGAGCAAATATCGGAGGAGGAAGGCAATGAAAATAACTACTGTTTATTCAGAAAGACTGTCAACATGTGTACGAGCAACGTATTAGGAATATTATTTTGCTTAAAACATTTTGGCGGGGATGTCCGCCTATTAAGCATAGCAGGCGAAATTATAGCAGGGCGCCTAGCTAAAAAAAAGGCGTCGGATGATGACATCGACGGATTTACGGTCCATCTTCTAATGCACTACTATCGACAACGAGCATTAGGTAAATATATTTTATTTATAATAATAATTGCAAATTAAAATTTTTATTTTTGTTAAAAATAGATATGCTCGCCGTTTCAAATATCGGAGCGTATGTATGTCACGACATCGTGAGATTTTACATGCAAAAGGGTACCGTATTATTAATTTTTTACGGACATATATCATACGTAAAACACAGATATACAAAAAAAAACTATATTATAAATAATAAAGATATGCTAACAAAGCGTTTTTCTATATTGCTTACTGCATGACAGATATCCTAACCTCACGTATGTCACTATTTTGAAATCTCATTATGTGTTTTCAGTATCAAATATATTTGCGAGTTTACGAGATTTTACTTTTCCTACGAAATAACATTGAGTAAGTATTCTTTGCTAATATGATGGAGCTTGGGTACTTTAGTAATGTGGGACAAGTTGTTAGATATAAGTAATAAGACATATTACAATTAGAAACGGATATTTTCTGTTACATCATAGTTTATTACTTCATAGTTTATAATAGAAGAGTATGTATATGCAACGTAGGCCTAATAATTTTCAAGTCATTAATCAATCTCTTTTATTTACAGTGGGATCTTTACATTAGAAATAATGTATTTTGGGGTCTTCGCGTGCTGGGATAACTATTGTGCAACTACAGTATGAGGTAATATTTTTAAGTATTGTTTTCTGACTACTCATTCAACCTAAAGGAAGACTAAATTGTGATGATGACAATTATACTGGTAAGGTTGCTGTATGAATGAGATCTTAATGTCACGCTGCCTATTTAATATTATATTATGTTTATTTTTATTTTAGGCAAGCAAAAGTAATAGATCCACACTAATTTGCAAACCAGGGATCCAGCTTGCATTGAATGTCTGGAGAGAATCCATTTACAAAGCACGAGAATCTTTTAAGCGAGAGTTTAATATTATAGTCTCCACTAATAGAATCTTGTGATCTGTAATGGAATGATCAACACTCATTCACTAACTTGCAGTGTCTATTGAAGCAATAATGATTTTGTACTGCTGACATGTTAGAAGATTGAGTAAACATTTGTATTACTATTCAGTTAGTGAATACATCAGCGAAGACAGTGCTTTGGCATATTATATCCAAATGTGGCATATTGTAATATATATTATTATATATATTATATGTATATTATCTGTATCACAAAAGAAAAATCTTATAACATTTTGTTCTTAACCGATTTATCAAAAGAATATTTCTCTGAAAAATGTGTTCATATGTACACTGCAATTGTAAAGTTGATAAATCGGTTAAGAACAAAATGTTATAAAATTTTTCTTTTGTG